TAATATAGGTAATAAAGGTGATAAAGGTAAAGGCGGTGAAGACATAGATCAGTAGTACAAAGATTATTCTAGAATAGGACAATATTACAAGGGTAAATGCTACTAAAAATTGAACAAGGGTAATGAAGATCATTAAGCGAAAATCAAGTATAACAATGCGCAGATCTTTGATCAGTTCACACTTTCCTAAGCAAAAGTGCTTCTTTAGATGTACCAACCAGTACTACATACATATATGTTTCTTGGAGAATAATGTTCGACAGTTGGAGAAGCCTTGTGTGGTATTAGTACATTTCAGACTTCACCTGCTGCAGAATTTCATCTTTAACAGAAGAAGAGAAGCGAAGAGGAAAGGGAAGAAAATTTCCTAAAAAGAAAATCTTCAGATGAAGTGAGGATAAGTGGAAAAGAGTTTTTTGAAGTTGTAATTATTGTATTATATGATTAATATCAATTCTAACTATTATAAAATCAAGTTAATTATATTAAAATAAGATTTTTGATTTTTTTAATAATTACAAAATTGAAATATAATCAATATAAAAATTTTACAAAAAAGACTTTTGATTTAACTAAAATATAAAACTTATAATACAATATTTTATAATTGTTAATCTTTAGTTTAATTTATTCTAATTTATTGCAAGGTCTAATTAATATTTAAGACATATCAGTTACAAATAATAAGAAAAATAGTTACTAAGGGTTAAATTTATTAACAAGTATTTGAAAATCAGATAATAATAATAAAGAGATATCCTGGAATCTTTTCTTTTAATAAAATATTATTAATGGCATAATTTTTTTACAATAGTACAAGACTGGATCTAGAATTCCATTTGGTATCTGAAAAGTATTTCAAAATATAAAATAGTAATGTAACATAGGTATGACCAATAAGTAAGGATAATTTACTTGTAGTATTAGTAATATTAGTTAGTATAAGACCTTTGATATACTGATAGAATTCAATATTTATACTCTTCACTTAAAAAAAAAACAATTTTCATATAAATAGTATCATTTTATGTTATAATTTTATTTAATACTAATTTACAAAAATAAATAACTATTTTTGAAAAATATTTTAAAATTGACTTTAACTTTCTTTAAAAAATCATAAGTATGTTAACTTGCTCCTTACTTATGAAATATACGTTCACTTAATGTAAATTGTAGAAGAACGATGTTTTGCGTTATGGCGAATACACAAAAAAAATAAACATAAAATAAATTTCGAATTCAGTAAAAATCAAGTTTAATGAGTTTATTAAATGCAGTTCGTATTGTGGACTAAAATTTATAGGCGTATGACTAAATTTTGTCCTCACATAAATCATTACGCGTATTAGTGTCTCATAAAGACAAATAGTGATTCGACATCTTTAATCCTTTACTTTATATAGAACTTAAACAGTAAAATCAGGGAAGTTTTCAACCCAGCGGATACAAACATCCCTGTACGCGGTGTTTCGTAATCCTTTGAAGGTCTGCATAATCAATAAATCAATTTGATAAATAAGATAGTAATGTAAGAATGTACAAAGTAATTTTTGACAATTACCTTTTCGAACGACCCATTCTTGAAAGGTCGATCAAATGGATATCTAAAAAACAAATAGTTTATTAACACTCAGCATTATTTTTGGTAAAAACTAAGAATACTTACCCAAGAGTTCTTTTATCAGGATATTTATCTTTTGGCTTCTCCGCCCCACATAGAGATAAGCTAC